CCTCTCTCTCTCTCTCTATATATATATATATATATGCATATACACACACAAGAGGATGGTCAATGTGGCAAAGATGTGGAAAAGAGGGTGAAAGGAGAAACTAGAAGATTTGTATATTCCATCAAAGGATATCACAGCACTGTGGAAACAAAAATCATATTTGTTTACGCGTCTCACAGAGTTTAACACCATTTTTGCACAGTTTATATTACTGTGTGGATTCTATTGCATATTGTTTTGTAATATACTGGGGATCTCCCATGCCCCTTGAATCATCCTGTTTAACTAATCCCAAAGAGTAACTGGCATAGCCTGACAAAGCTAAGGCTTGGAGACTCCAGACTGTCCATTGGAGTTTAACCAGCTGAAGTTTAACTACCTAAACCGTATAGCTTGCCATTGAAAGCACTGTCTTGCACACTTCTGCAAGCACTGCTTGTCATGCGAGGACCACCCTACAAATTAGGGCTTTGGCTTGCAGGTTTAACAGGAGCTGAATGGGGAAGAATCCCTGCCCCCAGTAACTGATCTATCTCTGCGTCCTACTGATGAGCCAGGATGGTTGGGCTATCATCAGCAGTGCCCTGGGGTACTGGCAATACTGATGTGAACCAGTCACCATTAGGCAAGTGAAGGCAGCAACGGCTGACTCTCCTTTCCTACACCTTCCTATGTCACTGAGGGTGCACAATGTTAAACTATTATTTCATAACATGGCTTAGAAGTGCTGCTCTAATAAAGTATGAAGAGAATGTCCTGAAATCTGAAGTACTCTAAAGTTAAAAGGATACTGTTGTGATGAAAACATGTATGCCAAACCTCTTATTTGTTTGCAAGCACACTAAGTGATGGCGAGGGTGAATTACATTGAAAGCCTTTGTTGTGTCATTTGCACAGGAGAATAGGCTCGTCTCTCTCCCCCAAACAATAACAGATTTCCCAAGCATGTATTCACGAGATCCTTTAAATTTGATTCAATTAAACAGCTTTTATCTTTCAGTTTCTGTGCGCAAACAATTACCAGTTAAAAAAAGAATGCTTTTGAGTGACACCGACTCAATACTTTTCACCCTATTCTTCACTCCTCTCCAGAAGCCACTAACTCACACCGACTCAAGCTAAGGTCCAGTTCCACGGGGCTCAGCTGCCCACCAGAACTTTGTCAAGCCAGCAATTCTCCAGTTGTGAGCAATGACAGCAAGCATCAGCTGACTATGCCAAAGTAGCCAGTGTCACAGCCAACACTAATCCTGTCCTCAATTGACATAAGCACACACATTACACACGCACTTTCCGAGCGAGATTACGATCAGGAACCCCTGACAGATTGTTCCTCTTTCTGGTGTTGGGGCTCTGGGACTAACTGCTGCCCTCCCCCCCACCCATCCCCACAGAACAGGGATTGAATTCAGGTCTTTACTGGTTTATACAGTCTATAGTAAGGTTATCTGATTAGATGATGTGTTTATTGCACCTTTGCAAAAATAAGAATAAAAGAGTAAAGGCTCAGTGGAGATCAATTTGACCATTTGGAAACAATGAAATATAAAGGCTGCAGGAAAAATATCTGAATAAAGAGGCGTTCATTGGTTGCCCATGTCTAAGTATATTCTACATGAACCCTGTATGGCTCAGTGCTAGACAAAGTGTTTCATTTATCCATTGACCCATTAGGGAAGCTCAGCATCTCTGAAAACATCACCACGATGTGATGATGAAGTTTTGGAAAACACTGTTATTTCAGTGAATTAGCAATACTGAGTCAACTTCCAAAGGAGAAGCTGCACTGTGGGCAGTTTGAACTTAAATGAAAAGCTGCTATACAAAGGATTGATGGTAATCATTCATTTATGAATCAGACATCTGAAACCCAGAGGATGTTCAAATACAACCACCTTTATGGATCTAAATAAGATGATTTTCTATACCTATATGGATTGGGTTTTTGGGGTCTTAAGTAAGTATATTTATTTTTAAAAAATGTGTTTGAAAATACATGTTAAATATTATTTCAGTTGTTCCAATATCACAAATAAATACTTTGTAATATCAATGTCTATCCATTAGCAGCTTTAACAAGCAGTATTAAAGACAAACAATTCTTCAGAGAAGTTAAAACTTCCTTTTCACCAATCCCCCAAACTGAACAAATTCATTAAGATACTATTCAATATTCAGGAATGAGAAAACATTTAATTTCCATTTTTCTACATATGAATGAATGTCTCATAAGCACACTGATATTTATCCTCAAGCCCACCTTTTGAATATATATCTAATTGCCATCTTTCGTCCTTACTTTACTACATACTATCAGCAACTTTCTTTACTTTTTCTGTAAACAAATTAATAATTCTGCCCTGGAACTTATGCATACACTTCCTATCCTTTGTACATTTAGTTCTTACCAGATCAGCAGATCAACAAAAACCCTTGGCTACAGTACCTGTCCCTAAACCACAATCCATCAATGTCTGAGGAACAACCAATTTCCTACAATCATGCTCTCTCAAATTAGTCAATTTCTTAATCAGCACCGTTCAATGATTGTGTAAAAAAAATAGCCTGACTCGGTGACATGTACCCAAAATGAGCAGCTTTTCACTGCCTTTAGCAAAATGCCTGGAAAGCCAGCTCAAAAAATAAATATAACAGAGGCAGGCTGGCAGCTAGTGTTAGACTACCAGTTACAAACAAGCTACATTTTCAATGCCTTTTGGCATTCAAACATGTTGTGTAACATGGGTTAACAAAATGTTGCATTGTTTCTTGCTAGAATGGTGCCAATTCAATTTTGCAAGATGATCTAATGAATAATCTAATACCCGGATCAATTCCGCATCCAAACAAAAATGCACCTTCCTGATTAAAAGTGCTGTAAGAATCGTGCACAGTAATGCATTGATATTGCGCTGAACAAGACTGAGCTTGTTGAAAGTTATTTTTTTTGAACAGCTAATTCCCATGTCAACTAACAAACTGAAACAGTTTCAGTTTTTGTTTCTTTTTGCAATTATGTCAATAAATTAAGTGTTCTTACAGACAATCGGTTTACACCATGGCTCAATCATAACACAATTTACCATTGATCACTCTTTTGCTGATGAATTAAATAAAATTGATTTAAAACAGTAATCGTCACAGATCTTATTTTAACTTAGACAATCAAAGTGGCTGGTTTATTGCTTTTCTACAGAAATCCGAGGTATTTAACTTCAAACAGCGGTTAATCTTTCAAATCTTGTTATGTTCTTAGATCACTTGCACTGCTTAAATCCTGGCAGTCAGAAATGCACAATAAAAAATGTCACTACAGTATTTTGGAACTGCAAGTTAACAATAGCAAACAGTATATCCTGCTGCGCTGTTTAGTATTGGAGTACTAAGTCTCAAGCTGGGATACAGTTATCTTCTCAATTAAAATTACACTGGTGTACCGAAGAAACTAGGATCCATTTCAGGTCTTTCCTAATGTAACTAAACTTCTTGTGTAACTGGGTCAGTTCTTATACAAGTTTAACTACATCTGTAATCTTCTTGTACAGATATAAGTAAAATATACAACCAATAAACAACTCTGGTTTAAAATTTGGCACACCAGCACAACAGAAACTTCACAGCAGTCTAAAAATCAATGCTGCAAGGTGCAAAAGAAATCTAATGATTTGCTAAACTTGTGGTTTATGTCATGTGTGTTTTATATATTGAATAAAAACAATTGCCAAAATATTTGCATATGAACCAAAGATAAAAGTCCCAAAGCTAGACTGGAGTTCAGCGTTCATGTTTTAGGTTATAGAGTTTCTAGATTCTCAGTTTACTACTCATTCCATCAGCATGAGTGTTCGCAATAAATGATTTCAAGATGAAACATGTTATCAAGGGCTTTCTTCCTCTTCTCGTTTCAACCCACCTCTTCACCCCTCCCCGACTTATGCTATTAAATTCCTAACAGGTGAGGAAGAATCTTGGCTAACTAAACCCAAACAAATTCTTCATCCTCATGCCCTCTCTTCTTCCCCCTTGTATTTTCAACTCTTGGACCAATAGATATACAGTTGACATTACACAAATATCACCACCCAATTACTGTTAGTTACAATATTTTCCTATTTAATTTTAACGAGCAGAATTTTTTGAAGTTCAAATTTATTTGAATTTCAAAGGTAGTTTTATTCTTTTTTAAGCAACTGTAACTCAGCTAGAATTTCTTTTTGAAAATGAAAACGATGGCAAATCTCAACAAAATAAAATATAGTTTTTTTTCCAAATGGGAACCAAACTGTGCACTTAGATCATCCTTCAATTTCGATCTTTGACTTATTTAGTTTCCATTCTGTACATTTCCAGAATCAATTGCAATAAACACCTTGTGTAGAGCAATGTTTCAAAGAAAACAAAGTCAGCTGAACAAAGTCAAGTCTGTTTTTTTTAAAATCCAGATCTTGTCAGGAACATGACATTAATTCTTTGAATTAAGCTACATTAGTAGCAGACTTAACTAGTCACAACAGCTCACAATCCTGATAAATTACAAATCTTATTTTCCAACTTGCCCGAACCACAACCAGTGTTCACGGTGAAGATCTACAATGTAATATTGACTGTCTTGAATTACCAAGAGGCTTAAGTAATTAGAACGCATGGTACTTTCATTTAAATCTTAGTTATGAGATTGAAATGTCGTCTGATTAATTTGATTAAAAAACAAACCATTTTAATTGAACTTAAAATGAATTAAAAACAATCTTCAGTAATAAGTGACCTTAATTGACTGCAAACTATGCCTTGTTACTGCATATAACTATTAAACATCAACAACATGGATATCTGGCCATGCAACTGCCAGGAAGGTGGAAGGTAAACTAGTTGGACCTTGGTCCTTTTTCGTCTTATGTTCGTATAACAAGCTTAGGATCGTTCTTAAGCTTTTATGCTATTACACAATAAACATTTATATTGAAGAAAAGAAAAAAGTTTTGGGAAAAAAACTGACAAACCTTCAGCAGCAGCAACAGTGACAGCTCGGTTTAAATTCTTCGACATAAAGTCTATGCTGGCATAGGTGCTACCATCTACACCATTAATACTTCCTGTAGGTGGAAGAGTTGACCGAGGTCTTATTTTCTCACACCGTGCCAAATCGTCATCCATCAAATCTAAGGCAATGTAATTCAGTCCATTCTGGAAACCCGTAGATGTCTTGCGACACATTGGGCTCCCTTGTTCCTCTTCAGTTTCTTCACTTTTTCTGAGGGAAACATTTTCAAATGAAGCAGAACTGTGCCTCTTGGGATCATGAGCAAATGAAGGTGAAACAGGTGTGACCGTGGTTGTAGATGAAAATGTCTCTGAACTATGTCGCCTTCTTCCTTGAGGGTCAGCACGAATTACCTTTGCACCCCGATTTGGGTCAGGTGGAGGGCTTGGGAGCATGAATACCTCCACCCCAGGCATCTGATCAATCAACGAGAGTCGTTTCACGCCTGTGGTAGGACTGGCCAATTGGGTACTTTCTGTTTTTGGTGAAACTTGCTGTAGAGGTGTGGTGGCTATTCCAAATGTCATTTCAGTATAATCGGATCCATCTTTTAAAGGATTTGAGAAGCATGCTGTCCCAACTTGGGTTTTCAGGTAAATATCATTTGGTTGACTTCTACTGGAGCAGGACATAGGCGATGCAACAACAGCATCAAAAGAACTGACAGAGACAATTCCACTCTTTGGTGTCTGTGCATTAAGGTCAATGTTCATATAATCAGATAAAGGACACCTTCTTTGAGCATTACCAGAGTCCAATGAAGATAAAGAACTTCCGTCAGACACAGAAGCTGGTGAATACAGAGTTTTACCACTGAAATCTATATTAATATATTCTCCTGGGCTTTTTGGTTCAGGTGGCAAAGGGTGTTCATTTGTACTTGGCAACGTGTTAGCTCTTAGCATGTCCAGTGACAGCTTAGTAGGTCTCATAGCTCTTCCTCTATGCACAAAACTCTCAATCCTGCTTTGCCTCACTGGTGAGATCACAGTATGACCAATAAGACTGGATTTATTAGATGTAACACTAAATGTTGGTTCTTCAATGATCACTCCAGCTGGCGAATTCATCAAGACATACTGCTCGTTTTCTCCATTCTTCTGCTGCTGAGCTTTATAGGATCGTGGCAATGAATGGAATGAGTAACTGTGCTTCGGAAATTCATCACTTACAGGATTGAAGAAGTAGTCTGGAGGAGTAACTGATGCACAGCGATCAACAGGAGACATGTTCATATATTCAGCATTAGTGAACTTTCCATCAGAACTCTCTGCCGATAGCTTTGATTTGTACCACATTCTCATGTATCCATTTGCTTCTGGTGAGCAGCTCCCACCAGGAGAAATGTTCTTGTACCCATTTTCGTTCACTTGGGGATGGGACCGTGGATTAATGATCTGTTTCGGTGCAGAAACACTTTTGGGACTCATCGGCATATAATCATCACTTTTAGTAGGTGTACGTGCTACTCCAGGAGTCATTGGCATATAACCATCGTCACCCAGGTTACTGCATCCAGAGCTCTTCTGAGACCCAATTTCGATATCACAATAATCCTCCGGATACGGATTGTTGGCTACTTTGGGAGAGGCGGCGTAAAATAGGTACCCTGAGTTCCCCATGCAGGCGGCTTTCATTAACGTGTACTCGTCTAACGAAACCGAAGAAACCTGCGAAGCGGCTCGCTGTCTGGACGGGGTTGTCAGAGAACAAGTTCTCTTTCTGTAAGCCTTCTCCAAACCCGTGCTCTCGCCCCGGGCAGCCTGATGGCAAGTCCGGCTGCTCTGGCCACTCGGGTGTCTTTCCATCGCCATGTAACCGTCCAATTCGTTCCCCTCTCGGACAGGTGGCGTATCGGTGAGGAGGGACTCCGGGGTGTTACTTCTGTTCCCCACCGACTGCCTGAGGTCTCCGGGGCTCGATCCACACTCATCAAAGGAAATGAATCCGCCGTCACTCGGAGAGCCTGAAACCGACGCGCTGCCGCTGGACGGCCGAGGAGGTACGGTGTCGGAGGCAGAGCCGTGGCCGCTGCTCGAGGACAGGCTCACCGGGCTGGTGGCGGGCGGGGGGGAGCGGGGCACCGGCATGGACATGGACCTGCTGTGCTGAAGGGAGATGTGTTGGATCATCCTGGAGTTCCTGGACAGCGTGTTGGAGCGGCCGAAGGCGGTCCTCCCGGGAGCGGGGCTGAGGGGGCTGCCGGTCGGCGGCTCCGGTCTGCTCATGGTGCTGTCGCCTTCGCTCGCCGTTCTCAACCGGCAGGAGGTCATCTTGGCGGCCGGGGAGGAGGAGGAGGAGGAGGCGGCGGCGGCGGCGAGGCTGTCGGTCCGGGATCTCCTCTGGAGGCCGGTCTGGCTGGGCGGCAAGTTGTTCAGGTGCCGCCGGACCGGGACGGTGATGGGGTTGGAGCCGGACGACTGGCTCTTGCTCCTCGGCCGGAACTCGGGCGACTCCTTCATGGCCCGCATGGCCTCCAGGATGGTCTCGTGGATGTTCTGCGCCACCACCGAGTCGTCCACCTGCATCCACAGCTCCCCGGGGCCGGTGGCCGCCGACCGGCCCACCTCGATGAAGAAGAAGTTCTCCGAGTGGCCGCACCGCCGGATGTTCATGAGCTGCAGACAGACCGAGTGCGCCTCGGCGTTCAGCTTCACGAAGCTGATGCTCCTGCACGACAGGCACAGCCGGTAGACCCCGGTCAGGTTCCGGGCCTGGCCCAGCCCCTTGGGCTTCAGGTGGACCTGCCACACCTCCCTGTACGCGGCCGCCGCGGGGCAGACCAGCCCGTAGTTGGCGTCGCCGTCGCCGCCGCCGCCGCCCTGAGGCGGAGCGGCCGAGCCCGGGGAGGGGGCGGACAGCGCGACCTGGCCCTCCCCCGCCAGCTCGGTCAGCGCCCGGTACCAACTGTCCTGCTCGCGCTCGTCGTCGGCGGCCACCGCGAAATACTCGTCCCGGGTGTAGAGGGCGATCAGGTACTTGTTCTTGGCGTCCACCCGCTTGTGGATGTTCAGGCACGAGTCCAGCGCGATCACCCGCTTGGCCGCCGACCGGTTCCGCCACTTCTTCTCGCTCTCGTAGTACTCGAGCCGGGCCGGGCCGCCCTCGCTCGCCTCCCGCAGCACGAAGAACCTCTTGTGGCCGTGTCTCTGCTTCTTCAGCGACCCGCACTTCTTCACGTTGTTGTTGTTGTTGTTGTTGTGGCCGCTCCCGCCGCTCCCGCCGCCGCCGACGACGACGGAGGAGGAGGAGGAGGAGAGGTGTCCACCATCGCCTCCACCTCCCGCTGTTAACCCCGCGGTCACATTGGGAGGATTCGCCATTCTCTCCCCCGGTTGAGGGTGAGAGAGGGGGGAGAGAGGGTGAGGGGTGGGGGGAGAGAGAGAAAAGGGGGGAAAAAAACCCTCCTCTTGTTAAGTTATTTGGGTGACTGTGTGGCGGCTTTTTAAACGAGAGGTGCGGAGAACGGTCCAAGTGCTTTCCACCTTCTTTCCTCCTCCCTCTCCCTCTCTCCCTGTGTGTGTGAGTGAGTGAGTGTGTGAGAGAGAGGAGTTCAGGCTGCAGTGTGTGGGGCAGTGCGAGCAGTAAATAACACACGTACAAGTGACTGACTGACTACTGACTGACTGCTCGAAGAGCAAAACAACATGTGACTGACTCTCTCCCCCCCCCTCACACACACACACACACACCCCGAGCTCTCAGCTGAAGGAGGTCCCGGGAGGGGCCACAGAAAGGAGGCGAGACCCAAGCAAAGCCCATGTAACCCGCTCCCTCATTGCTCCATCCCCGGCGTTAGACAGTCAGAGTCACCAATTGCAATCCCTCTCTCATCACTGACAGACTCTCCCTGAGTTTCTCTCCCTCACACACAGACCCCCCCCCCCCCACCCCCCCCCCCCCCCACACAAACACACACCCCCCACACAAACACACACACAGCCCCCCCCCACACACACACACACAGCCCTCCACACAAACACACACACAGCCCCCCCACACACACACACAGCCCCCCCAAACACACACACACCCCCCACACACACACACACAGCCCTCCACACACACACACACACAGCCCCCCCCACACACACACACACAGCCCTCCACACAAACACACACACAGCCCCCCCCACACACACACACAGCCCTCCACACAAACACACACACAGCCCCCCCCCCCCCCCCACACACACACACAGCCCTCACACACAGACCCCCCCACACACACAGCCCCCCCACACAAACACACACACAGCCCCCCCACACACAGACCCCCCCACACACACAGCCCCCCCACACAAACACACACACAGCCCCCCCCCACACACACACACACACAGCCCTCCACACAAACACACACACAGCCCCCCACACACAGACCCCCCCACACACAGACCCCCCCACACACACAGCCCCCCCCCACACACACAAACACACACACAGCCCCCCCACACACAGACCCCCCCACACACAGCCCCCCCCACACACACAGCCCCCCACCACACACACAGCCCCCCCACACACAGACCCCCCACACACACAGCCCCCCCCCCCACACACACACAGCCCCGTCCCCCCCCCCACACACACACACACAGCCCCCCCATACACACACAGCCCCCCACACACACACAGTCCCCCCCCACACACAAACACACACATAGCCCCCCCACACACAGACCCCACACACACACACAACGCCCCCCCCCCCACACACACACAGTCCCCCCCCCCCCCACACACACACACACACACAACGCCCCCCCAACACACACTCAGTCCCTCCGCCTCCTGGGGCTTAAGGTTGTAAAGGCGGACAATTGTAGAGTAACTGTGGGTCACTTTTTTTCTATAAATAGTGTTTTATCAAAAAAAATCAAACAAATAACAAGTCCGCGTTTGTTTGTGTACAGGCGGACCGGTGTTTATTTGCGGAGAGCGCGGGAGAGGCTGTAAACCATCCACGTGCTGTGCTGTTCTCAGGACCGGTGGAAAAAGGAGACTCAACATTTTGGGGGGAAATATTTCCAACCCTCTCCCCCCCCCCCCCCCCCCCCACACACACACACAACATTTTTTTTTTTTGGGGGGGTGGGGGCGGGGGAGAGAGGGAGGGAGAGGGAATTGGTGGTGAAGAAAAGGTGGGAAGGGGAAAAGAGAGAGAGGGGCGGGGGGAGAATGACTGAAAAGTGAGGTTAAGTCCCGACAAGTAGTTACCATTTGCTGTGTGTGTGTGTGTGTGTGTGTAGGGGGTGTAGGGTGGGTGTGTGTGGGGGGGGGGGGGTGTAGGGTGTGTGTGGTGTGGGGGTGTAGGGTGTGTGTGGGGGGTGTAGGGTGTGTGTGTGGGGGGGGTGTAGGGTGTGTGTGGGGGGGGGTGTAGGGTGTGTGTGTGGGGGGGGGGGGTGTGGGGGGGGTGTAGGGTGTGTGGGGGGGGTGTAGGGTGTGTGTGGGGGGGGGTGTAGGGTGTGTGTGTGGGGGGGGTAGGGTGTGTGTGTGGGGGGGGTGTAGGGGTGTGTGTGTGTGGGGGGGGGGGTGTGGGGGTGTGGTGTGTGGGGGGGGGTGTAGGGTGTGTGTGTGGGGGGGTGTAGGGTGTGTGTGTGGGGGGGGTGTAGGGTGTGTGTGGGGGGGTGTAGGGTGTGTGTGTGGGGGGGGTGTAGGGTGTGTGGTGTGGGGGGGTGTAGGTGTGTGTGTGGGGGGGTGTAGGGGTGTGTGGGGGGGGGTGTAGGGTGTGTGTGTGGGGGGGTGTAGGGTGTGTGTGTGTGGGGGGGTGTAGGGTGTGTGTGTGTGGGGGGTGTAGGGTGTGTGTGTGGGGGGGTGTAGGGTGGTGTGTGTGGGGGGGGTGTAGGGTGTGTGTGTGGGGGGGTGTAGGGTGTGTGGGGGGGGGGGGTGTGTGGGGGGGTGTAGGGTGTGTGGGGGGGGGGGGTGTGTGTGGGGGTGTGTAGGGTGTGTGTGTGTGGGGGGTGTAGGGTGTGTGGGGGGGGTGTAGGGTGGGGGTGTAGGTGTGTGTGTGGGGGGGTGTAGGGTGTGTGTGTGGGGGGGTGTAGGGTGTGTGTGGGGGGGTTGTAGGGTGTGTGTGGGGGGTGTAGGGTGTGTGGGGGGGGTGTAGGGTGTGTGTGGGGGGGGTGTAGGGTGTGTGTGGGGGGTGTAGGGTGTGTGGGGGGGTGTAGGGTGTGTGTGGGGGGTGTAGGGTGTGTGTGGGTGGGGGTGTGTGTGTGGGGGGGAGTGTAGGGTGTGTGTGTGGGGGGGGTGTAGGGTGTGTGTGTGTGGGGGGGGTGTAGGGTGTGTGTGTGTGGGGGAGTGTAGGGTGTATATGTGGGGGGGTGTAGGGTGTGTGTGTAGGGGGGTGTGTGTGGGGGGGGAGGGGAGTGTAGGGTGTATATGGGGGTGTAACAGCCCCGGTTGCCACTTGTTTATCCTCACGACTGCGACAGACAGACAGACAGGGAGGGAGGGAGGGAGGGAGGGAGGGAGGAGAGGGTTTGCTGGAGATCAATAGCGTTACCATAGCTGCTGCCCGGAGTGGGACGCGGGCGATGCGCTTTCATCTCAACTCAAAAAGAAACAACAGCAGCAGCAACAACAGCAACAGCCGCCGGGGGAGGATTTGCTTTACCTGCAATAAACTTATGACTTGCTCAACCGTTTGGTCACCCTTCTCTCTTATCTCCTGCGCGTCTGTTGCTGCTGTTGTGTGTGTGTGTGTGTGTGTTTGAGTGCGTTTCCTCTCCTCTCCATTTGAGAAAACAGCAGCGACTGTGTAGGATATATATACACACACACACACACACACCTACACCAGCTATAGCTTTTACTCTCTCCGATCCTACACCAACACGTTATTCCGGTCACTTTCGCCCGGTGCTTGGGACTCGAGCGAAGGCGTTTCAGAACATATCGATCGACGCAGTAAATAAAATGCAGCTTCGACCCACAGGTCGCAGGCATTTTTCTGCAAAAAAAAAGAAGGCTGCAATTCCGCACCTGCCTGTGTGTGCCCTTTTATAGTCGGGTGGACCTTACAACCCGCCTAATAGATAAAATAGATATATTGGGATTTTTATTACGGGTTAACAGTTGCATATCAAATAAACTGTTCGCATGTACACAGTTCTTGGAGACGTGTTTTTATAAGTATATATCCTAAGCTGATGGTGGAGTGCAGGGTCACTTATCAGGCATTTAGGCTAAAGGCAGAGTTTTGTTTGAATCACTCTTCTCTGAAGGGCTTTGCTATCGTTTCTCTTTGGAAACGACGTCCTTGCAAACTAAAGCGTCACTTGAGCACAATTTTCAAAAGTATTTCTGTGCTCCACTTCCCTCTCCACCGTCATTACCAATGATGAGCGAACGTTACCTATTTTTACTTTGTAAAAGGAAATGAACTCTAAAAGTAAACATAATGTATCTCCACCAAAGGCACGTGGTGTGAACATTTAAAAATACACTGCTTCTCAATTGAACTTGCTTGGTTACCATTTTCCACAATAAGTTCTTTATTTGTAAGCAATACGACCTTGCATGCAGTTTTTTTTTGTAACGACCTTACTTTCCAAACTAAGTATGAACCTAAATAATATCCTATAAAATTGTTTTCCCTCTGTGCTGATCAGCCATGGTTTAAAGATTGTAGCCCCTGTTGATGTCTTGTTTCCTGTGCATTTCAGCCATGCACTTCATTCAAGTTGGCTTTAGCTGACCCAGATTAAGGAAAAATATCCAAGGAAGTTATGCTAGTTTGGTCCACACTTCCTAGACAAACATTCATCTTCAAAATATAGTAAATATAAATCGATCGATTGTTGTAATTTAGATTTTATCTCTTGTGCAATATTTCAATTCATCTTAGACAGACTAATACCCACTTATACCACCAGTATAAATTTGTTGCTATGCCTTCAGTAAAACGATAAGAAGCAGAAAATTTCGAATTGTTCTCACCCGAGGCTGAGTCCAAAGTAAAAGTAAAGAACTCTAATGCTAAGAACATTCTTTACTTATTGGCCCCAAATAGTTGTTTTTAATTATATTTTTAAGAGCTGAGAGGGTAGATGGTGCTCTAACGACATTAACAAATCTAAGGCTGGTCCAACTGAATGCTGAAGAACTTTGAAATTTGTTTTACGTTCAAGAGTTAGCATTGCATCAACTGCAGTAAAACTAAAGTTGTTGTAGCCATGTGCATCTATCTATACACTTCAAAAATCACCTCAAAATCGAATTAATGCTACTTAAGCTGAAGTTATTTCATACATTCGCTATCCATTGGACACAGAAATCATATTGAATTAACATAAGCCGTATTGTATAATCGGTGCATTATTATTGAAGCATTTGACCAAGATGTTCCCAAACCACAAAATAGCAATAAATAGAAATCAATCGAATTTCTATCTTTGATGTATCTTGAAAAGAACACGTTCTGCTGCGAGATGGAAGTATTTGCAGTATCACGTCCATTGCTCTGTTGTACTGTTCAATTTTTTCTCATTACTATTTTCAAAAGATTGTATAAGATGAAAGGAAATGGTTGATTC